CTCTAACACTGTATTAATAACTCAAAATCGATTTTTGCGACGAGTGACTGGTTTGGCTTGTCTTTGCCACATATACTACAATACAATATATTCTATTTGTCCATTTATTTGTAAGGTATTGGATGATGACATCTGGACATTGCATGTGTCCTTGGGCAAGGCTTTTTACTTTAGTTTGGCTCTTTCCATCCAGGGTTGCGCATGTACAGCAGCTTGACTTGGGATACTCCCCAGATTGTAAGAGGCCCTATATACCTGTAAATTCCGATTTTTTTTAAAAAGGAAATTTTTTTTTATATGGGGTACTTATTTATTATTCCAAAAGTCAAATATCATATCCTTTGTCTTATTCACACTTATACATATATTCAAACTATATTTAAAAAACACTTACTGTATAACTAAAACTAATGTTAATAAGTAGCCTTATCAGTCAAAAACTTATCAAATATACTAGAATAAATTTCTACTGCGTGTTTATTGTTTATTTTTAGTTATATTATACTGTAACGTTTGCAATTTCAAGAATAAATTTATGAATGAACGAATTATAAATGACCTGTGGATGATATACAAGTAGAATTATGATCACAAGTGTACATTTTTTATGATAAAAATATTTAAACAAAAATTACCACTTCAAAAAAGTAACAAGATCGACTCCAGTTCTTGACAGCAGTGTATATCATTCCACCATAGTAATAATAACATAGAAAATAGCTAACATCACTTTGACCACCCTGAGTAAAAAAAAAACTATTAACACTGAAGTAATAAGTCAAATTATTATTTTAATTATACAGTATTATTCTAATTGTAATAAATACATACAAATATCTCAATCAGTGGTGCATATACATTTTTTGGAGGCTTACTTGATTGCATATTAATGAGAGGACCTATTCAAAAGCAACATTTATTATTAATTATTACTTAAGCGCTAAAATTATACCACCTATTGTACGAAGGCCTATCTGTCCTGTTTCAACGTTAGTACAGTATTATTAATTTTGTGATAAATCAGTTATTTAATAGTATCTCATTGATACACTGTATGTATAAAGAATACATTGTCTTAAGTATTCTCGTTTAAGAGCCAAAACATATTCAAAATAGAATACTCTAATAAGCACTGTGGTGTTTAATTGCTAGCTGCAATTAGCGAAAGGAACATTACATTTGGTGCAGCACTTATTCAATAGAGGAGGTTATTAGGTCATTAAATTTTAAGGTAATATAGTGATTTTAGCAGTCTTACCCTTATTTCTTTGCTAACATCTGTGATGTCCACATCCAGAAGAGTGAGGGCAGGCTTCATACATTTTGCAGCAAGACATAACTAAAATTAAATTAAATAGCACAGTATATTACTTCATATCATAGGCTTAGTCAGCGAGCCGTCCGGCTGTCTTTTGGACAGCCAACAATTATTAAGGAAGGCCGCTTTTACTGTGATGGCTTGGACTGCTTGGCCTAATCAGCTCGGCCAGCCTAATTGGGCCTGGTCCACCTTTAGCAAATTGTTTATATATTTCAAATCTATCGAATGTCATATTAAACTAAAGCTACTTCATATTTACTTTTGATAAAAACAACCTTTATTGACTGAATGTACGTTGTTTTCATACCAATATTTGGTGGGGATTCCCAAAAATGTAAGGATTAACCATTGTCTACCCAGTGAAAATTCACTTACAACACGCACTGTGTTAAAAACATTTATACCCCGCTGGAAAATTGCCGGTTCTGAGTCGCCCACAATGCATGTACATGGCTCTGCAAATACAATACTTGAGATTCGCTTCCCCGACATAATATTGTTGGTGTTCGTACTCTCTGGTTATAATCAATTCATGAAATACCGTCAAGAAGATTTGTTGTTAACGTCACAAGTTAAATTTTATTAGCCAACAAAACACCTCTCGATTTGGAGGACCTAGAGCAGAATTTACACTAGACTATGGTGAGAGATAAAGATGCGCCGAATTTACACTAGACTAAGGTGAGAGATAAAGATGCATCTGCGTAGCCTAGAAACATTATGTGTGTAATCGTGGTTCGTTTCTGTGAGTGACTGGCAGCCTAGAATCTTACCTGGCATATGTCTGCATGGATAGAGGTGAGTTGTGTTGCATGCATTTGAATTTTGGAGACTGCCTTGATGAGAAGATCAATCCCCCTGAGGGGTTGCTTATGTTCTATCAACATTGTCGTAAACTGATGAGCTAAGTTTGCATCTGGAAAATAATCAAATTTTAATCTCTAAATGCCAAAAAAAAACCCAAACAATTCTTTACAATAACTGGTGTAAATAGCATTCTAGTATTTGTGAAAATTGGTGTTCCTGTACTAGGTCAGCTGACTTACATGTTTCCACTGCAAAACGTATTTGTTCACCATTGCACATGGACAGGAAGAGCTGCGTCTGAGAAACAAGTGTCTCAAAATCATTTGCAGACGACCCCTGTTGAGTATATTTTGCATATCTGCAATAAAAAGGGGATTCCTCTTTAGTAATACTCTCATTGTAATAAAATTACCATGGTGACAACATTGACAAAGTTCACATAACTCTCTTTAAATTATAAATTAGTAGATAATCATGCAAGCACTGTCAAGTAATTTAAAGGATAGCTTCAAGCCTATTTGATGTTAATGACATTGTTGACAAAGTCTTACAAAAATCTGTAATAAAAAGGGAAAATAGAAGAGGACCTAACATAAAAGCTTGTGAGAAAACACCAAACAGGACTTCCATAGCAAATATCTTTGCCTTATAAAGGGTAATAACAGTATTTAACACACATTGATTCCATTGTCTCTAGTGGGATTACAGAATTATATTCTGTGCAAAATTAATTTTCCTAGCATTATTCCATGAAATGTTAGGCTCTCTCAATGTATCCCCACCCCACTCCCACCCCAAGGCTGTAAAATAAGACCTGCATGGGGAATATATCTCCTGCCCAAAATAATGCCTTGAAATCTGTCCATGTATTTCAAAAGTGCAGATTCATGCACAAAATTTGCAGAAAATTAGGCATTTCCATGCCTTGATATAACCCATGCCATGTATTACAGTAATTACACAGCAGCAAATTGCACACCTATATTCCTAGTGGTTTTCATTGCACACATAAAATACAGACTCTTTACAGCTGGGTACTTGCACAAATAAACATTTACCGTGTTAACATTAAGTCAAAAGAAAGGTATTTTGTATAACTTACAGAATGGCTAATACCCCAAGCGAGTGCAACTGAGGGTCCAATGTGCCAAGTACGTTGTCTAAGCTGCTTACATTTTTCTTCAGCAGTTCAAGATTTTTGTTGAGCTCTTCACACAGTTGGTTAAAATTTCCTGGAAAAAAAAAGATATCCAATTCAAAAATGATGATTAGGCCTATATGATGCAGAACATTTTCATTTTGCTTAATATTTGCTGGGCTAGGCCTAGGTTTAGTCGTCTACTGTACAACTGAAATTCTATACCTACCCAGGCCTTGACTAGGACAAGTAGGGGCTAGCTAGCCTCTCTGGGTCGGGCAGACTCGAGTGGTGAGGGCTGTTCGACGGAATAGAGAGGCTAGCCTAGCAGAGTTCCGGTTGTTTGGCCTAGGAATATTTGGTTTGAGAACATTATTTTTAAATAAACTATTACCTAATTGTATGTCTGTTCTATAAGCATTACAAAACCCATAAAATACCTTACCATCAGCACTTAAACTAACAACAGAATTTACGAAACCCTCCAACTGGGACGCCATGCTGAATATTTTCAGAATTCCGTTTCTGTCGAAAGAGGGCGTGATCAGTTTGTTTACTAATAAAATCAAAAGATTCAGATCGGTAGGTGTCGGAAGTGCTCTTATTTTATTAAGTTTGGAGAATGTAGACAGAGAAACTATTTGTCTATGGTAAGATTGCCTTAATAATTACATAGTTATTAAGTAATAGCTGAAATCGAAAGTAATTGGACATTCTTTATTCATCTTGAAAGCTAAGCCCCAACCCAACCAACCAAGACGGGTGATTCATCTAACTTACTACCTAACTAAGCTAGTCAAGGCCTAGGCCCTTCATTCAGTCTAGGACTCCGAGCCTAGCTAGGCCTGGCCCTAGTCTAGGACTCCGAGCATAGCTAGGCCTGGCCCTAGGCTAGGCATTTTTCAGGTCTAGTATAGTAGTAAGATAATCTAAAGTTTCTACATACAGGCCTGAAAAAATCTATTTATTTAGGATAGTAATAGTAAGCCTCTACTCTCTAGAGTCTAGCTAGCCTAACTGCCTAGGTTAGGCCCTAGACTAGGAGGCTAGATTGAGAAAGATATATTTATTGAGGTGGGGGAGGGATGTCAAGGGTGAAGTGGGAAGGTTTGGTGATTACCTGAAGGGGAGCCGGCATCCGGCTTCCAAAATAAAGTCATTCTTCTTTTGCTTAGAAAATTTCCAGGCAGGGGGACAGGGATTTGACACCCATTCTGTGACTTCGAACACCTGCAAAAATTGTCTTGACGATGCCTCCAGAATCGTCTGTTCACTTTTTCTAAATCCTAAAAGGTACTTTAAAAAACTATTTCTCAGATGAAATGTCTACTTCTGAAATGCAATGATGTAATCCAATGGCTAATAAATTCAATATCATTCTTTTTAACAGGCTAGGAGTGGAAGGAGACGAAATCAGGGTGGTAAGTGGTAATCATAGTATCATCAACCTTAGGCTTTTCAGTATGTCTACTGTATGCTAGGCCTCTGCAGTGTATCATAACACTCCAATTTACCTACTGAACTTTAATACCTTGAATGGATGTACACTTGATTGTCTGTACTATCTATGATTTAAATCTGAATTTTAATTTATTTTTTTTTACAGCTTCTCTGGATGATGACTTGGCAGGTCTCCTTGGAGATGATGATGGTAAGTCATTGAATGTTACATTATTATATTAATCATGAATATTTGTGATCTTGCCAATAATATATGGTGTTAATTTTGCATAATTCTTTGTCTAGGTGGTTGTTGCACATTGTCGACTATGGTCATAGAATGACTTAATGCTATGATTTTGTATTGAGACTTTTTGTAGAAAGGTTCTATACATTTTTAAATTATGAAAACTAATATTATTAAATAAAAAGTATTTTTTAAATAGTATTTTTTTATTATTTCTAAAGTTTTTTCAGCATTTTAATGAAAATCATTTTCAATGAATATTTGATGGTTTTCTGTGACTCTTATCCCTGTATGGTAGTTATAGCTGACACACCCAAAGCAGAATAGCCATTGGGTATAATTTGGTATGATCATCATAAATATTATTTTGCATCTTAATCAAATTTTTTAGATGATTTCTTCAAAAGTGGAAAGAAATCTTCAAGCAAATCAAAGCAATTGTAAGTAGATCACGTCCAGTTATCATCATCACAACCCTGGGCGGAGAGAAACATAGATAAATTCGCTTTCCAAAGGACACAAATGAAATGCACAGTGAGCTTTGAACCTCCGACATCGAGGTTTAGAGGCAGAGCCACAAACACTATGCAAATTGCTTCTAATATAGCCTTGTTTCCTTGAATATCAATATTGTACCATAAATGTAATATTAATTTCAATCTTATGCGTTGGCAAGCCTTCTAGGAACTTTGTATCATATTAATGTTTCAGTGCATAAGAACTCAATTTTGATGGTTCACTGGCTAATTAATTATTATCTATTGTTATGTTTTTTGCAGGCCAACTGATGAAGACTTTTACAGCAACTTGGCTGCAGATGTTGATATTACTGTAAGTGGCTAAAAATTATCATTGATATGAAGAAAATTAATTTATTGTTACATTTTGCTGGTAAACATTAGGCATTTTTAAAAACAATAATGGTTTATTCAGACCACTATTTTCCAACAGTACCCTCAATACTTGTTTAATATTACTATTAGAAATTAATCTCTTTAATTTTATTAATTATTTCCAGGAATCAGAGGTGTCGGAGGCTGATGCGGCTCAAATGGCTAAGAGTCTGGCTGTAAGTTTATGGCAACCTGAGTGTAGTTCATAAGTCAATTTGAATAAAGCTCATCAATTTCAGTATACTGATTTGTAGACCAATTTGAATATTGTGCATGTGTCAACTTGTGTAATATAATGGGTCAACTTCAGTAGGCTCATAAGTAAATGTGAGTAGGTTTACATGTCAATGTGAGTAAATTTGTTTATTTAGTGTTTTCATTGGTAAACTTTAAATTTTACTATGTAATACACAATCTTGTTTATAAAATGTATAACCTACCAAAACCTTTTTTTTAAAGATTGATTAAATTGATTATGAATACCTGGAATATGAATAGTTTTACATATTTATACAATTTAATCAATTTAGGATTTATTGATTTTTTGCAGGATATGGATGGTATGGATGAAGATCTTTTTGGTGGCACTTTGAAGAAAGCCAAATCACCCAGGAACAGAAGAGCCAAAGGCTTAGGAGAAACTTACACCATGAATGAGAGAACTGGCTCCTCGGAAGCCGCAGATTTAGGTAATACATTTACTATCGATAGAACTAGTGTTGATGATGCAAGGCCTAGGACTAGTCGAGGGAGACGAGAACCCCTAACCAGCGCTGGTGACACAACTTCTAAGGATACTGGAAAAGCTGCAGATATTTTAAAACTTGATGATGAATCTGACTCTCCAAAGAAAACAGAAGCAAAGCCAGCTCAGAAGAAATATGAAGCAAAGAAATTCGATTTTGGAGGTCAGTTTTAATATACAGTACTTTCAGACTCCTAACTTAAAAAAAGCAGTGATATACTGTAGAAGTATTGCTACAGTGATTCAGTTCACTTTGGTTGGCACTGTTATCCCCATTTTGTGTTTGACCAAATATATAATGCAATGAAATGAAGCCATCAATACAATGAACTCCATGTTTTGCGCCCACACAGTAACTATTACTAGTTTAGAAAAACTGAGTTAAGTTTAATATCAATGATGATAATAAACGTAGCAATTTTTATTTTTATTTCTAGAATTTGATGAGGATGACCCCCTTGCTGGTCTTCTGTCAGATGACGATGATAATGCAGCACCCAAGAAAAAGGCACCTCCAAAACATCAGCCCAAGAAACAACCAGAAACGAGGGAGAAAAAAGAGGAAACAAAGAATATACCAAAGGAAGAAGAGCCGAAAAAATCGCTATCTGCTAGCCCATCAGAGAGCCCCAAACCTAGCCTAACACCCAGTCCTAAGCCCAGCCAGCGGAGTAGGGCTAAACCGCATGTTGATATTGATTTTGATGATGATTCTGATGTCCTGGACACTCTTGGCTTTGACAGTACACCTAGAGGTAGGTATATTTTGATTTTTTTTTTTTCCAATTTTGTTTTAACACCAACTGATGTCTATCCTTTCCTTTTATCATCCTCGATATCTTAAAACCATTTGTCTTCTAAAGAAACTGCAAAGAATGATCCAGAAGCGAAAGAGAAAGCTGCTGCCAAGTCAAAGGTCAGTGCATTATTCGGAGCAAGCTCTGCCAAGAAGCTTCTTGAAAAACCGCCGGCATCTCAGAAGAAGGAATTTGTTTTGGACAAGAAATATACAAAGAAAGAACCAGGTATTTGGTATTTTTGTTTTTATAAATTGCATGGATCCTGTTCATTGAATCTAGATTTTAGAAAGATTAACAATAAATTAATAAATATGATTATTGTCATTATTATATCTTAATTACAATTTGTATATATTGCTTTTAGAACCAAAGGTTTTGAAAGAGGATGATTTCCAGTTTGGTTCTTATATGCCATCAGCTGTTGTTGAAGTCACCACTGGCAGACCAGAGTCTGCTCCCCCAGAACGCCGCTCAGTCAGGTAGTAAACCCTTCTCCTCGACCTCTTTGTTATTGCAAGCTTTAAGAAGTCCTTGGACATACAGACACTTATTTATATCCTACTACTAAAGGTTTTGGTCAGGACAACCCTGTTCACAAGTGCTTGAAACCATTCGCCTTGGTCCACTTTATCCCCGGCAGACGCCATCTCTTTATCATTGAAGGACGGAAGGAATTAAGGGCCTGATAGTGGCAGCATGTAACAGAGATTTACATGGTTGAGGGTGGGGGTAAAGTATTAATATATTTTGGAAGTAGCAGGTTCACCCAGTTTCTCCCCTGATTCTACAACTGAAGGTACATTTAGTAACTAATTTATAAGTGAAAACATTTATGTGTATTTCTTGATTAAAAAATGTTTTTTTTTAAATTAGATTTTCTGATGATGAGCTCCCTGGCAGATCATCATCCCTTGGGCGACCTAGAGGACGCGCACACATCAAAGCAACGCTCGATGCTGATTCACCAAGGAGCCGATCAGCAGAACCATCTAACAGGATCCGACAACCAGAAACGAAAAAACAAACAACAAGTGATGATGATTGGTTGGACATGGCAATCTCAAAAAAGCGTGATAATTCAAGACTTGACGAGGAGAAAGAGCAAATGTCGAAAGCAGAGGTGAAGCAACCGATTTCTAAAGCATCTGTTAAACAGGCGAACGAGGTATTAAAACCACAAGCAGATTACCTTGGTCTCGGAGACGACATCGATCCAGACGACTTACTAGGGTATGCTATTCAATGCGTATCATTATATTTTACTCTGCTTCCTTGAGAGTATTTTTGGCTCGCATTCACTATACCATGCCTATTAAAATATCCAGTATTCTTTATAATATGGTTGGTTGTAATATTGTACATAAACTTACATATTGCCATGCAGCAGCATTCTGATCTTTAAATTTTCTGTACGCTCCTCAGTGATATTTTAAAAAGTTGATTATCTTTTTTCCAAAAAGAAAGTTGGTAATAATATTTAAAAATTTTACCTGTTATTGAATTTTAAAAAATTTCTCAGCCCAAAGAAATCCCAAAACAGAAGTGCAACCCCTGACACCTCTTTGTTTACACCACCTGCGACCAGAGATACCACGTAAGTAAAATAATGTTCCTTAAAACTGGATTTTATTTCTGTTTACACATTTAAATACAGTATTTTATAAATCCTGTGTAAACATTTATGATTTCAATCATTCCTAATTTTATTTAAACTTTGCAACTTTGAAAGGTCTCCATTTCCATGGGATTCTCCTTCACCTCGAAGGTCAAGCCTGAGGTCAGGGGAGATGAGCAGCTCTAATTACCAACATCCATCGTCAAAGCAAAACACTTGTAAGTAAATGTAAATGTTAGAAAAAATATTTAAAATTAAGAGTAGTTATATAATTTTCTTTGTGGTTAGGCGAGACTTTTTTATTCCTTGTTTAGCGAGCATGCTGCCTGCCAATAAGAATGATTTCAAATAAAAATAAAATTGTATTTTTGGCCAATTAGCGCACTCGCCACCACAAAAAATTGGAAATTTCAGGAAAAAAAATGAAAGCTTTTTTTTAGGGCATCTATACTCTGCTGCCTTTAAATCTCCCAAAATAAGATACTGTATATATATTTCTTCCTTATTATAAAAATTTAAAGCATGTAACCATCCCATTACTATACTGTTTACATTCACCAATACAATTTTATTTTTTATTTTCTCTTCCATCTGGATGTTTTTGGAAAAACTGTTTCCTTATAATGAAACAAAATAAAATTTTTATTTTTTTCCCCACCCTCCTTTTAAACAAATTCTCGCCTTACAAAGTGCTGGGACAACTCGATCAAGCCTTCAGCACCTGGTGTTCACAAAAGTAGTCACTCATTTATTAACTGGGCGCAACAATAGACCTATCTGCTAAGCTCCGACCCTGGGATATTATTGCTAAGGCCCACAAAACACAGTGTTAAAGTTAAACATACGCATATGCATGCGTTTGTTGGGCAACACGTGTGCTTGTTGGACGCGCATTTTCTTGGCCCTGTTCTGATTGGTCAGTTGTTAAGTTTGATTGACACTCTGGAAGGTTCCATTCTCAACATTGTTGTTCTAATAAAAAATTATATTTCAAAGTAATGATATCTTAAAAATGTTTTTCAAATTTTTTATTTTGTAACATTGTTATAGTGTTACAAAAACTTTGATCATTATAATAAATTGATTGCAAAAACAACATTTTCAATTTAATGAATTTGTAGTATATAACTTAATTTAAATCTGCAAATTCATAAAATATATATTAGAACAGTGTTCTTTTTTTCTTTTCAGATGATTTTGATAAGGATGATTATGATAACGACGACAATGAGGAGCCATTACAGACAAGCCTTCTAAGTCAGCAGATTGAGCAGATGAAGAAAATGGAGGAAGCAGAAGAACGTGCAAAAGAACAGAAAGAAAGAGGTATTAAATCATTCCGATTTCTATATAAATTGTCATGTTTATCAACTGTAATTATTGAATGTTGCATTAAAGAACCAAATTTGAGTAAAAGGTCTTATATTATTATCGATAATAAACTTGTATTTGATTAAACTAAGAAAACATGAATAATTTCTGTATTTGTAATGTATTTATATATAATCAAAATCAAATTGTTTTCTTTTGTCATTTATATTTATGCAGCACCATCTACTAAAAGACAACCTTCTTGGAGGCAAGAATTAAAGCAACAGCAGGAACTGAGGCAACAACAACAAATACAGTCTGACATATCAGCAGCCCCTCTGCAAAGTAAAGATGGGCATCCTGCTGGTTTACCAAGGCAAGAGATTCCACGACAAATGCCTTCTAATACTGTGGAGACACAGTTTAGAAATGTTTCTAGTTTACCCTCAACACCATCAACTATGAATGAGATGCAGTTAAAACAGAGGGAATACCAGCAGAAAATGGATCAGATGTCACAGAATTTGAAGAGACAGCAGGTCAGAAAATTGTCAGTTAATGTTAATGTATTTAATTTGAAATTGGTCACATGTCAGAGATTCAGGATTCCAGCAATCAGTAGGTTCATCCCTCTACTTTTGGTTTTATCACCAGGAGGAGCAACAGAGACAATGGGTTGAGCAACAAGAAAGACAGATGAGAGTATTGCACGAGCAACAGCAAGAGGCAATGGAGAGACAACTCAAGCAGCAAGAGGATCAACTGAGGATTCAACAACAGATGATGTCATCACAGGTAGGTGGAAGTCCAGTCTTCTCTAGTCTGGGTACACAATCAGTCATACACAATGAGTATTCTTAGCTATTCTCTACAGCAGATTTTACTTGAGAGTCATCTTTTTTACAGATGACGTCTCCAATGGCCACGATGCCTATGATTGGTGGATTATCTTCTGTGCCAACATTTCAAGCCACTTCTTCAGCTCATCTTGAAGCATCCCTAAATCTGGCAACTTTAGAAGGAAAGGTGAGATCAAGAAAAGTAGTATCATATAGTACATAGAAATATTCTGTACAAATTTGGAATTGTGTTGTCATACTTTCCACCATCTGGAATTCTATACTACAGTCAAATATCATTGAGTAACCACCATTGGTAGTATTTTATGCCTAACCTCAGTTATGAGGTTGATTAATTATTTTGTTGATTCTTCTGAAGGTTCAAACTCTTGAGATGGAAAAGAACCACTTGCAGAACTTGCTGGAGAATACACGGCAGAGGAGGCAAGAAGAATTGGAAGCTGTTGAAAATTCCCATAAGTAAGTCAAGCTGAACAGAACTAAAACCAGATGGTGAATGATAATTGTGATGACAATGAAGCTAAAGATAAGTATGTTTGTGATGGTGGTGAATGACAATTGCAATTGATAAAAAAAGTTGATGATTATGTACAATGTTTTCAGTCCTCTGCCAAACATTTGCAGAACTAAACAACAACTCTGTCCAAAACCTCTTAAGCCGCAATCGCACTGGATTTAAAATAGGGAAATTTTTACCGAGACTGTGGGTAACATCCCAATGGGTAAACTTCCTGTCGTTCGCACTGGGATTTATCGACGTGGTTAGTTTTACCACAGGCCATGGTGAAACTAACCATTCGTACAGATTCAACTATTGGGGGCGCTAAATCGTGACGTTCACTTCCGGTATGTGTGGCAAAACAAACCGAGTAAACAAGTGAAAAAAATGACAAAATTACTCAAAATCAAGACACTAGCAAGCACACGCGCGAAATTAATCAAGATGTTTGTGTGTGACGTTTTATTCCAGGTCACAGCTCATGCGTAATTGCCTGACAGCCTGAGGAAGGTCATTCACTGTGATGACTTGGGAAGTTTACCCGACACGCGCTGTTCGCATTGGACTTTCCTGCTAGGTAAAACTAACCTGGTCAGTTTTCCTGGGCAAGCGGGACTCGGTTAAATTAACCGCGCGGCTTGGGTAAGTTTCCTGTCAGGTAAACTTCCTGTGCTGTTCGCACTGGACTAATTATGGTAAAACTAGCCAACGTGTTGGTTAGTTTTACTAAAAAAAGTCCAGTGCGATTGTGGCTTTAGACAAAATTGAACCCCTACAATAGTAGTCTGTTGTCTGTTTTCAGAAGCCACATAGGTCTATTGGAAGACATGTCAAAGAGGAAAGAAGCACAGCTGAAGAAGGAGATAGAGCAGCAATCATTGCAGCAAATGGCAAGACTTAAGACTGAGGATGATGAGAAGTCAGAGATCCGGCAGGCTTACCACAAGAAACTGATGCTGCTGGAAAAAGAACGAGAACAAGAGATTGAAAATATAAAGGCAATTCACAGGTTTGTTGGATCAGAAAATTTTTGTTGTTTTTTATTTGCTGATGTTTTTTGTGTTCATTGGTTATTACTGTTTGTTTTAAACTTTCACATTAGTTTGTTTCAAAAACTTCTTATATTCCGTCAATCATGACACATTATGTTACCTTCAACATAATTTTTCTAACCCTAAGAGGGCAATGATTATTTACTCTTGCCCAGTATGCGGCATTATTGTCCATTTATACAAGGTTAGTGCATGTTGCTATACACTGCATTATTGTTTGTGCATCAATTTCACTTTTGACAAGGCTGTAGGAACAGTTTTGAGCATACTCGGTAGGATCTTTTTGCTATTCTTTTTATTATACGAATGAACGTTTTTGATGTTGTAGAAGATCAATTGAGGAACTGAAAAGCGAGCACAAGGGAGAGGTGGAAAGGCTGAAGCGAATTCACGAACAAGAGAAGGATGCTATCAATACAGCTCAGTCACACTCCAAGTAAGTCCATCTAGCCTAAGGAAATATTTACCCTTTTAAATCAGCTATTGCCACTGTTCAAAATATATCTCAAACATAATAAAAACATCCATCCAGGTCCATGCTGATTACACCTGTGCATTCTCAAATCAAGATTATTTACAAGCCAGATTTGAGAATATGATATTGTTATTGATAATGTTAATGATACTGATAAATTTGTTTACATTTACCATAGCAACCAGATAAATTTGTTTAAACTGACATTTATAATGAAAATAATTGGACAGCTAATTAGGTACTGTACGTGAGATATGGGCTATTAATGTATTAGTTCTAGGCTTAATCTTTGTTATTTCTTGTTAGAGTAGCTTTGTTACAACTCATGTGGATTTTTCTTAAATAAGCAAATATATATTTTTAGTTTAATATTTTAGTTCAAATGTATTCACATCCAGGTCTATACAGGCGGTACTTAACCGTGTCCATGCAAACACGTCTGACCTGAGTAGTCTGCAGGTCAAGCTAGAGGGCAGGCATCAGTCTCATTTAGACGAGAAGGAGATTGAGTTTCGACACAAGGACCAACAATTGAAAAGTAAGATAACATTAAAATAATCATGGTATCTTTTGTTCTATTAACAATTATAAATATTTGAAAAAAGTATTTATCTTATATTAATTGATTGTATTTACTATTAATTTGACTTTGGATATTATCATTGTTGTTTTTGTTTCTGTATGATTACCATTTTGATCGTAAATATTATATAAAGTACTATCACGGTTACTATTTTTATATTCTTCTATGATAATTGTTGTAAATGTTATATTTAATGGTATACTTTAGTTATTGTCTATTTCAATAATTGTCATAATTATTATTTATTAAGTTTGTTATTATCATTATTGATACCTTAATATCTGGTAGTCCTTGAGGATCGACTGAACAGACAAAAAGACGACATGGACGAAGAGAGAACTCGTCTTCAGGAGCTGATCGGACGATTGGAAGCACACATTAGACAACAAGCCAAAGAGTTAGAACAGGTATTTTTATTTTCTACAAATGATGATGATGGTTTAGCATATTCTATTTTCTATATTATATAAGTTTTCCCTTTAAGAAATTTTATTTAAAAAAATGTTTAGTAATCATATTTAATCAAATCTTCAGGAAGAATGGAAGGTGAAACAAGAACAAATAAAGCTTGATAGTCTGAGGGTTTCAATGGAAGAAGAGAACAAGATGGTGGCTGAGAAGATGGCAATGGATCGTATTGAAGTACAGAAGTCAAAGGTCTTTATTAGTTCTCATTCACATCAGATACATTTCACAATGTCATTCTCAAGTTATTTCACCAAATTTTTGACTGTGGGACCATTGCCTAAAACTCTGCAACATTTCTTACAATGCCTAATGCCTGCATTGATCTCTCACAATGGATCAGCAATGTTCAGATTAACTCAGTGAGAATGAAGATGAAGTGGGAAATGCAGTTTGGCGCAATGGTTCCGTTATAGTTCTTAACCCTTTTGGTTAATTCGAACCATGCTTAGACACCCCGAGATTGCACTTTTGACATGTTGTAAAGTGATTCACCCAGCAAGCCATGCCCAAATGCCATTGAACTAATCGTGTCTGTTGTCAATATGATCACTTCCTTCCTTTTTTGTAACATTACTCCCATAGGATGCCTTGTTAGCAGAGCAGAAAGCCATAATGCAGCAGTTGTTTGATGAGCGCAAGGGCCTGGCAGCAGAGCGTGCCCAGTTGGCTGCTGCACAGAGGGTCATTTTGGATCGAGAGAACAGGGACCATTCCAGAACACTACAGGTACTGTCTCCTCCTACTCTTAACATTAGAATGGATAGTCTAGATTAACTGGTGTAAATCAGATGAAAACACTGGATTTTCCTCTTCTCATATACATCTTTAAATTTCTATATTTTGTGCAATATTGTGTTTGAAAAAAAAATGTGATTGTAATTATTATTATTATTATTATTATTATTATTGTTATTTTTTCTCTTAACAACTTTAAAACTCTACAGGAGGATGCTGAAAGGGAAGGTACAATTCAAGGGATCGTTGAAGAGAAGGCTGCAATCTCCATGAAGGTGAACATACTCAAGCAGGACCATGAAAGACTGATGCTGGAGAAACAGCAGCTAGGCCATGCGAGAGACCAGGTGGAGGATGAGAAGGCCACCCTCAAAGAACTTGCAGACACTTTGAAGAGAAGATCTGAGGACATACAGCAGACAGTATTGGTACGATAGTGTGTACAGTATTTGTATAGTGGCAGTGCTTTATGTGTTGTGTTCATTGAGCTTCTTTACTCCAAAGGATCACTCCATGTCTGTACTTCCCGGTCAATTGGTACCATCCAACCTCGTCTTACTGGTCCAGGTACTGGACCAGTATCTCTGTACTGGTTAATGGTTCCTTGATTCCATGAAAATCTTTATTTTCCATATAACAGATCCAAATTTATTCAAACCTTGCTCATCAGAAACAAACCGAACCAAACCAGTTTACCATTGCAACATAATAGTGATAATATTAATAGAAACATTAAATAAATTTACCATTCAGACTCAATAATTAATGCATGAGAATACTTGAATACTTGATGAGAATCATGTAAACTTATCATAAAATGAAATATTTAAAGAATATCTTCCTCCCTTAAAATGAGAAAACAATATGATTAACCACTGCATTAATTGGATAGCCTTTACAGCTACTAAAATGCAAGCAGCAACAAGCTTAGTACTTACACACATAACAATCATTATAAGTCAATCGTGACATCATCACTGTAACTCCCAATGTTATATGCACAGTTTGCTTTACCCTTTTCCGGTTCATGGGCAAAAGGTCAAAACAACTTGTATGTGTCAAAAAATTCCTTTGGGGCTTGGAGATTTTTTTAAATGCATTTACCTAACCCTAATATAATAATTTACACTAGTGTATGATATGCAACTATTCTAAAGTCGGTCATAATCTAAATTAACAGTTAGCGTATAATAAATACATAACTCACCAAAGGTTGTGCCTGTCTATATTCATAAGAAGTTGAACCCCTACATAGAGTAAATTAGTACTTCACAATAGTGTGGTTGCTTAATTGCACTGTGTGCTTTTGTTACAGCACACCTGGATTTACATATTATGTAAAATAGTTTACTCTGGCTGATTGGATATTGAGGGCAGCAAAAACCTCACTAAAACTAATAAAATTATCTGAAAATATAGCTAAAAAACAACTAAAAATTAGTTATGCATCTACAATCCCCTACTCTCTTGAATGATGTACTCGGTTCTTTAAAGAGCCAAGTACACTGGGCCTAAAATTTGTGGTCCTCATCCAAGAAGTCTTGTTCTACCACCTAAAAAATGGGCAAGCATGCTGCTCAAACGGTGCCAATATTATAGATGTGGGTTGTGGCATCCCCTACCTTAACTGCTTAGCCTGTCAACCCAATTATCAGGCTTTTATTATTGAATATGAAATGATTGATAAGTAATACAAATAAAATCATTTTCTTCTACTAGAGTATTTCTTGTGTACTAGTGTCAGATTAGGGGGATGCGAATGTACGCCCCATCCCCACCCCATTTAAGCAATGGACAAGACCCGCCTTAGCATGCCAAGATTTTTATCATTTTCAAATTCTATTTAATAACTATTTAATGACACACACACTTGTGATAATTTTTTGTAGTCACATTTTGTAGTGATTTCCTCAGACTAATCTTCTTCATTAACTTTAACCTTGTTCAGGACGCAGCAAGAGTGAGAGAGGAAGGAGAATCGGCTCTGCACGCAGCTAGAACTATCGAGGGTGAACAAAATGAGCGGCTAATGGCTATCCAGGGTCAAATTAAAGTCCTACGTGCAACTGAACGACAAATTGCTCAGGTACGTAAATCAACCAAGGTTATTCTAATTAAGTTATTGTAAATTATTATTATGTGTATTTAGGCTTCTGTTGATAATTGGGAAAGTAAAAAATGATGGTAGAGTGGAGATTATAGATAATTGTAAAGTTAAGGGAATCAATTTTTTCCATACGAATTATGTTTTCAATAGGAGAGGTTGCAGCTTGTTTCTGAGCGCAAGTCCCTCGAGGATGTTAAGCATTCTACTTTGTGTGTTCGTTGTGGAGGCCCTGCTGGGTTTGGAGCTTCAACTGGTAAAGAATTAATTGTTCTCTCACTGATAATATAAATGCAAATACACAACATAGTAGAATGAAATCTAGAGACACAGTACAACCTAAGTTAGCTGAGATTACCTAGTGGTTTTATACTTTGATGATTATTGAGGTGATGGTAGTAAGATTAAGTAATTATAATGGGAAAGATTATGGTGGTGGATTAAGGTAATTATAAGGATGATGATAAAAGTAATGATAAAAATAATATGATTATGATAATGGGGAAAGTAATAATAGTGTTGATTATGATGATGGTTGTGATTGTGTTGATATCATGGTTATAACAATGATGATGCTGAGGATGAATGCTGAATTACATGCTTATTTTATTGCCTTTGAATTCATCACATTTGAGATATAAAACTAACCTTCAGAAAGTTATAAATATCAAAGCATTGGCTTTTCAAACATACAATACAGATAAAAATAGATTGAAACAATGAAATACAGATAGGTAATAACAACAAAACCAATTGAGTGAATTTTTGATAATTTTGAAACACGGCACGATGGCATGCATTTCGATACCTGGAATATGTATTATACTATCTAAACACAAGTATGCTCATGATCATACTAACTTAATATGTATTTCTACAAACCTGATGAATATATTCAAGGAAGTAAAAATAATAATAAATTAAATATTGTTTCCTCTTTAAGGCTTTAACACTTTACAGCAGAGCCTAGGCCATGGTACCCCCTACTTGCTTCAGCCTGCATCACCTATAAACCTTACTGCGACACTCGGCTCAACAAACGGACTAGACGAGAAGACCCTAGATGTCATCCTAGCCCAGGCAGAGAAGGATCATTCATTGAGAATGTGGAAGAGAGCTGCTGAGAAGGTTGGTGGGATTACTATTCTTTCCTTTTACAAAATTTACTATCTGTGGCAGCAGTAGTGGTGTCACTGGAAAAATCCCCCCCCCCCCCCCCCCCCCCCCCCCCCCCACCCGCACCCTCCAACTATGGAATCACCCATCTCAACCAAAAAGTCAGACAATCATTGCGTCAAATGACAGTCAAATCCAACTCCACTCACTGTCCCTGTGAGTGCTAGGCAACACAACGCCGTGTGCTAATTGTCAGTGGCAGGCTGAACAGATAGTCATAAAAACATACCGTTGCGCCCGCATAGTGTCATATCGCTGACGACCATCGGCTTTAAACACCTTGCATGTATTATTCAGTATTCAGGCAGGGCAGAGGTGTACACTATATGGAGTCTGGTTTTAATTAGTATTGTCATTCAAGTTTGTGTTATTTTTTTTAATGTAATTTACAATGCTTAACCATAACTAATTTATTCTTTTATATTTACAGGACAAAGAATACCTTGATGAAGAAAGTATTTTCCTTGAGAGTTTGAAGCGACCGTCTTCATCTCTGCATGTTTCATGATATCAGAAAGTAAAACTATTCTAGAGGAAATATTTGTCCAGTAAATTGGATAGGTGTGGTAAGGTGTGGTGCGATTTGAAGTGATGTCAGATGAGGCGAGGTGGAATGAGGTGAGAAATGAAGAGAGAAAAGAAGATGGGATGAAGTGACATATTGTCAGATGAGATAAAGAGAATGACAAATAAAAATAAAGGTGAATTGAGGTCAGTTAAGGCAAGGAGAGGCTGTGTATTTGTCGTAAGATAAAAATGAGAATTACCTCAAACCTAAAAGGGTTGAAATAATCTGTGTTAGATTAGAATTACCTTGTTGCTTTAATCTAAATTTTTATTGAATATTTTGTAAATTGTGATATTTGTAGATATGTGAATTTTATATTTTTGTGCTGCACTTTATATCATTTTAATAAATATTCTTTTGCATTTGATATACAATAATTAAAGTTCAGTTGGTAATTTTGTTTTTGTATTGTTTGTAAATGAACAAAATTGAAAATAAGATCCTAAGTTTAAAATTATAGAATAATAAGTCCTAAAAAATTGTTTGTTTGCCCTCCAGCGCCTGCCCCTAGCTCAAAGAATGTATTAATGGAATTAATGGAGTTTTTATAGAATGTTTTTGTAAATTGTGATATGTGTATTCATATGTGAATTTTATATATTTGTGCTGCAATTTATATTATTTTTCAATAAATATTCTTTTGCATTTGATATACAATAATTAAAGTACAGTTGGCAATTTTGTGTTTTAAAATTTCTGAAAATAAGATAGGTGTTAAATTTAAAAATTATAGAATAATAATAATGGTTATAATGGTATTTAATATTTATGATATGATAATGATTATGATGATGACGATGATGATGATGATGATTACTGTCAAGATGCACCATAAACCAACAGGGGAGGAGGAGCTAAACTTCTTACATACAAATTTAATACTAAAACTATCTAAATTATGTACTCTATTTAATTACACCATTAAATATAAAATAACATTGTTACTTTAAACCTTGTACCAAGGTAGTTGGAACTGTCCTTGCAGAACAAACCATTGTTATATTTATTTAATTCATTTAGGCCTTCAGTTTAATCTGTTTAAATAGTAGTTGACTTTCAAAGTGCATACCAAACTAAACAACTGCCAAATCAGGTCAGGAACATGCGCTGTCTCTCAAACACGTGTGGAGTCCCACAAACACTTATTGTTGGACCTTTAGATCATAGGGGACAGGGGGACACGTTCCCCTTACATATTTTTAAAGGGGGTTTGTGCCACCACTTTTCGACTGCAATGTAATTCATAAGACAAGAACGTGCCTGAATATTGTTGAAAGAACTGCATAAATCAGTGGTTCCCAACCTTTTTCTGTTTACGGACCCCTCTGGACATGCCAAAATCTTCATGGACCCCCATGTCCAAATACGGTAGTACTCCAGGTACCAACAATAAGATTAGGGCTACAGATAGACAATGATTCGCCACAAAAGTACAACATTAAACATTGGCGAATCCTGGAATTCGAAATAGAATCTACCTCGGCCCCACCATGGTTGGGGCCGAGGTCAAACATTTTTTTTTTATGTCTATGCCACTTCCAGATGGCCGAAAATGGCACCCCATCCCCCATTTAATTTTTAATGTGTAAAATTTAGGGCGATTCATGGTTGATATTCCGCCAATAAGATGATAAGATGATTTGCCAAATTACAATATCTTTAATCTTGGAATTCGACATAAACAGGAGGGGAGGGGGACAAACAGTAATTTTTACATATAGGGAATTTACACTACCTTTACCCCACTCTGGTTGGAACTGAGGTAGGAAATATTTATGTTTATGGCCGGAAATGACACTGTCGAACTCAAAATTTGAATGTTAATATTCTGTTATCCACCATTTACTTTTAATTTTGTAAAATATAGGGCTCACTGCTTTTTTAAGATTTATTCAATATCCAGGTAAAGGCAATACAAGAGAAAACATGGAAACAAGATGTACATTACCTGAGGATTGCCACTATCAAGTGGCTCTCCTATACTAAACACCTTTACAAAGAGAATAAATAAATCTAATTCAAAAGATTCTATCAGATCACCAATATTGGAATTAAAATATAATGCCAATTAAAACAATTTACATGCCTGTCAAGGTATGATTAAAGTATTGTTAAGAGAAGAAAAAAAATAATGGAATCATGATAAAGTTAATAATCTAGCATACCCGCCAACATTTTTGCGGACCCCCTACGGACCCCTTTGACTTGGCAGACCCCCAATTACTTGTTGCAGACCTGGGTCCGACCTCAGGTTGGGAACTATTGGCATAAATGACCCAGGTTTTAACGAAAGAGCACTGTACAGCCAGAATACATGAATTTTACATTGTAAGAGTGTCATTTCCGGCCATCAAGAGTTACTATTTCCTCAAATTTACACACCTCAGCCTCACCATGACTCAGCCATCTAGAGTTACTATTTCCTCAAATGTTCACACCTCAGCCCCACCATGACTAGCCCCACCATGACTAGCCCCACCATGACTGTCCCCCCAACCTTCCCCTCCCCCCAACCTTCAAAACAAATCCACACACACCTCAGCCTCACCATGACTCAGCCATCTAGAGTTAATATTTCCTCAAATTTTCACACCTCAGCCCCATCATGACTGTCTCCCCCCCCCCCTACAAT